GCATTCTAGTGAACCATAGTTGGTCATGCTTTACTTTTACCAAGATTGATCGTCACGTGTGCCATCTGCTTTGGTAGTCTGGTGCAACATATGCAAGTAATTCACCCTGAGTCAGCAGAAAGCAGGCTAACTGATATCATTAGTGAAAGTTCTATGTCATGGAGAGGACTTCTTCTAGACTCAGGATCTCTCTCCACAGATAAATTCTTCCTCTTTTTTTGTTTGAAAAGCATTCCTTAAAACTTTTTAAATTTGAAAAATAAGGTAAAGAATAATAGAAATGTTATTGTTTCAGAAACTCTACAATACATCCTAATGGTACACCATCAAATTTATCCTTCCAAACTACTTGTAAAAGCAATTTTCTTACAAGTATCAAACAGAAAAACTCACAATGAGCAACAGACTTAATCAAGAAATATAGAGAAGTATTCTGTAGTAGATAATTTGATTCAGTTTTTAAGTGTAAAATAATCAATCCAGACAAATGTAACTAAATAAATAAATTATTTTCGTAAAACACAAATAGAAAGCACAATGTGTGTAATTGAGCAGACTGAATCATTGTAGTTTCTCTCTTGGAATTAATCATTGTAGAGTTAAAACACGATATTCTTGACATTTTTTATTTGGTGATAAAGAAATAGGGCAACTAGAAAAGGGGCAATCTCGAATACGTGTTGCCACCATTACAACATGGAAACTAAACAACCAATTTTTTTTAATTCTATATAACTAAAGCAGATAAAAAACATGATATTATTATATATCATAAAGATTTTATTTTGCATATATTATATCATTATGCCTTGTTTCAATTTGGTCTTTCAAGAACTCGGTTGTTTAGTTGTAGCGTTAAAATGTTTTACCTTTTATGATTTTAACTCTATTGTCTTGATTTCATTTTTTTAAGCATTATGACCTGATGTGCTTTAATATAATTTGATCAGCAGGATTAATATTTATTTTGCAGTGTTAATGGCATTTGCTTTACTTTATGTAAAAAGTATTCTTGGTTTTACTATTATTGTGAAGTTGGGTTATTATATTATATCCAGTTTAATAATAATGATAATACAGTATCATGTGTGGCAGTTAGTGAAAAACCATAGGAAACGGACCAAACTATCAGAACGCTTCAAATTAGAGAAACTTGTTTTCATACACATTCATACATCCTTTTTAGCCTAATGTTGTCTCCTGTTTGCCTTTTTATTTTTCAATTTGGTTGTAAGTTGAAATTCGTTATATTTGTTGTAAACTTGTATTCTTTGTTGTATTTCTAAGAGTTTTAAACAATTGATAGTAAGCTACACCAATGTACGAGTTATTTAATTGGTTTTAAAATTTGAAGATAAAGGGGAGTTCACTAATTAAAAACAATGTTATATCATACGAGAATTTGATGAACAGATCTATTTTTTCAATCCTCCCTTAACATGGTTTTCCGCTTAATGAAAGTGAAAGTTAGTGGCTCGCTTGAGTACACTATAAAAATAACATAATTTTGAAAATTTTACTTTTCTAATGCTGAGTGATTCTTGTTGGCGAATAGGATAATAGTCTTCAACAGAATCGTTCTTGGTCTTCACTTGATCTAAAGTGAACTAACCACTGTTTCTTGTGTTAGGAACTTGGCTAAATATTTCAGTCCTTAAAAATTATAGCACAGATATTAAATAGTTTTCAGTTCCCCTTCATATTCCTGTTGTTTTTTACAGTTATATCTGGCAGAAATCTCCAATTTCTGTCGTATCTCCTTTGTAATTATACTTTCATATTTACTTTAATTTAAGAGTTAAAAGAATTTGAAGTGTACCTCTCATTTAAGGGTACTATTATTATCACGCTCACTTTAAGCGAGCAGGATTTAACGTATTTTTGTCGCGTTCATTCACGTTAGTGTTTTGAGTAGCAATGTTTCATAGTACGAGTAAATAAGTTTAAAGTGTAACATTGGTTCTTCAACTTAAGGTTTAAATTGAAATGTGTTTTGTTTTAAGTCTCCTAAGTTGTCTTCTCCATGGGAAGGCCCATATGACACAGTGGATCGTCTC